GGTGTCCCGTTCGTAAAATTAACGGTTCCTACCCCCTTAACCCCCCCGGCAAACCCCTCCACTCCGTCCCGACCCGAACACACCCCCTACCCCCGTCAATTGCACCCCACAAGTTGATTTTGACTTTGGAGTACTCCAAAGTCAAAATCAACTTGTGGGGTGCAATTGACGGGGGTAGGGGGTGTGTTCGGGTCGGGACGGAGTGGAGGGGTTTGCCGGGGGGGTTAAGGGGGTAGGAACCGTTAATTTTACGAACGGGACACCAGAACGCACTCGGGTCATCCCATGACATTGAAATCCAATGTCATGGGAACCTTGGTGATTTTTAAATTATTAATAAAGAATCTTATACATACTCTTTTTTAAAATTTTGCAATCAATATGCATATTTAAAATACGAAATATATTTTACAATAGTGAAATATATATGCTTATAGAATTGTTAGAAAATGTTAAAGTTTTATACAAAATATAATCAAAGTAATGTTTTTTATTGCTAAAAAATAATATTTATTTAATATAATATAATAAAATATATTAAAAGATCTTTTAAAAAAAGAAGCTTAATGAACCAGTGAAATGCCTCCACCTCCGTAAATAGTGCACATGTGGATGCACATGTGGCATGCCACATGTCAACGCCACAACCAATACACTCAAGTTGTTGTTATATCTCGAAATTGATTCTTATTCCGATATTATTTATATTTTCTATTCTTAAGGCTAATCATCAATTTATTTAGGATGGATTCATAATATCTATAAACAAAAAATGTACTCCCTCCATTCTCACTTTGATTATAATTTTATTTTTTCTCTCTTCTCGAAAATTTTTGTTAGTTTTTGTGTTTTCATTAATTATTTAATAAAATAAAATATTTTTGTTACCTCTTATTTTATACTAGGTGAATGTTTTTAACCTCTTAAAAATTTAATAAAATTTTTGATGTATTTTTTTAACACGTAATTTTTATTTGTTATTAATATATCAATTTGTAAATAAAGTGATATAAAAAGTCATGAAAGTTTAGCTCGTAATTTCTATTTTGTAATTAAAACATGGAAGGAGGGAGTAGTATGGAATAATTATACATCCCTAACATTTTCTCAAAAACAAAATATCGGAATCAATCTCAAACGTCATTGAATTATTATATAAATTGTTTCTAAGAAAAATCATCTACATTGAGTTATTATAAAAATTGTATCATGCTAATAAAAATGTAAAATTTATTTAAATAGCATTAAAACATAATGACTTTTCTTAAATAATATCATATGTTTTTATTTTTTAATGTAGCACTTTTAGTCATTATCTCTTAGTCATTATTCAAATAAATATTCACCATCACTAGACATTATTTTTCATTGTAGACATTATTAAGTACTATTTAGAGAATAAAAAAGTTTAAGTCCTACATTAAGAAATAAATTATCCATCATTATTTTGATATTTAATCAGGGCGAATCCATTTCCTAAACATAAGAATTATCTTTGGAATCATAAGAACTCAATTTAAAAAAACGTACACGCGTTACATATATCTGATCGAGGCGTGGACACCGCCACCAGATGCTTAGTGGTCTGCCGGGTCAACACCAAGACGAAACCGCCCCCGCCTCCTTCGCCTTGGCTACCATACTCCCATCATCATCATCATCAATTTCCCAATCAAAACACTGAACCAAAGCCGCCAAAGCGAGGCTGACCATTCTCAACCCCATATTATTTCCGGGGCACGCCCTCCTGCCCATCCCAAACGGAAGAAACTTCCAGCCGTTCTCACCGAGCTCCGCCTCCTCCGTTGCTCCGAATCTCTCCGGCAAGAACTTCTCCGGCTCCTCCCACACCGCCGGGTCCCGATGAAGACCCCAAGCGTTGACCATCAAGATTGTGTTCCTTGGAACATCGTATCCCCCGATGACACAATCCTCCGACGAACAGTGAGGCAAGAGAAGCGGCGCCGGTGGGTGCAACCTCAACGTCTCATTCACCACGCGCCGCAGGTAGGGTAGCTTGGGAAGATCGGATTCCTTTACCAAACACCGTTGTTGGTCGGGTCGTCCCACGACGACGACGTTGTCTATCTCTGATCTCAGCTTCCGCATCGCCTCCGGATTGGCTAGCAGCTCCGACATTGCGCATTCTATGGTTGCTGATGATGTCTCGGTCCCTGCCACAAACATCATCTGATCGAACCAAACGTGGTTACATGATTTAAATATTCTCCCATCCCATAAAAAACGTACTACACGAGTATCACATTAGAGTACTAAAACATGTCTCAATTTTTCAATATATTATCATGTGTTCTAACATCTCAATGTAATATAACTGTTTAATGTTCACTCAACATTATTAAAGTAAATAGTCATCGCCACACGATATTGTTCAAAGTCACGGAATTTTGTTTCGCCACCAGACATATCACTAATTTAAATTATCCATAAGAAATACTCCCTCCGTCCCACTGTCTTTGTCCACTTACCTTTTGGCACATCATCCAATGCACTTCTTTAATCCATTTTATCTTGTAATTTATATATTAAAAAATTATAGAAATTATATATTAATAATCTATATGTTAAGACAAATCAAACAAGATCACACATGACTATATTTAAGCTTACACATTGAGAGAATTTGATTAGTCAAAGTACTTAGATGAACAGTTCCAAAAGTCAAATATGGACACAGAGAGTGAGACGGAAGTAGTAAACATAGGAAAGGATATGGACATACCAGTATGGTGCTCTTGATAAGATCATCTGTATAGAACTCAGGCTCCGAATCTTGCAGAGACAATAGTGTTTGAATCAGCGACTTGTCGTCCCCGTCATCGGCACCACCGGAATCGGACAGTTTTGTTTTCTGTCGCCGGAATTCGTCCAGCATGCCACTCAAGAACTCGTCCCTCTTCTTGTGGAAAGAGACCAGCTTTTTCTCCATCCCTTTGTAGCCAAGAAACCTCAAAACAGGGAAGAAATCACAAGTGTTCATCACAGATAAACTGGCAAAGAAAATTCCTCTGAGCCCTTTGACGATTTCGTTCCCTTTCGCCCTCCCGACGTCTTTCTCCTCCACGCACCGTCTTCCGGCGACGAGTCTCATCATGGAATTGAAAGTCAACGTCGCCGCAAGGCTCTTCAAGTCAACGGGTGCTCTTCCGGTGGTCTCGGAGAGTCTACACAGGGCCCTGACTAGAGTCCGGGCCTCTCCTTCCCTGATGACAGATGACCTATGGAGGCTGGCGGCGGAGAAGAGCTCTACGGTGGCGAACCGGCGCTGGAGCCGCCAGAGTTGGCCGTACGGGGCCCACACGAAGGCGGTGTAGTTGTAAGTCAGCCGGTCGCCGGCCATGGTCCGGGGCCGGTTGGCAAAGGCAATATCGTTCTTGGTGAAGCACTCTTCGACGGCGAAAGGGGAGGAGACGAGGAGGATTGACCGGCAACCGAACCGGAGGAGCAGAACGGGGCCGTATTTGGCGGATAAGGAGGCGAGGGAGTGGTGCAGAGCATTCTTGATCAGGTAAAGGTGACCGATTACCGGAAGAGCAAGTGGGCTCGGAGGTGGCTTTCTTGTGTGCTTGGGAGCAAGATTTCTGAGGACGACGAGAAGGGGAAAGAGGAGAACTGAAACTGCAACACAGTAGAAGATAACATTCTCCATGTCTATTGAAACTTAAGCTTAACCACACAAAAAAAGAAAAAAAACAGCAATTAATTAACCTCAAGATGGAACATAAGCTTACGGAAGTGTATCGAAATAGAACAAAATACCCAGAAATTAAGGTTCCAGGAACACAGAGAGTGATCCGTACGGATATGGATTGGCTTCTGTCTGAGTTTCTGTATCTGTCTTTATTCAAGAGGACGGAGTTCGTTGGAGGATGACGGTTTTCGGCTTTTGGGTGCTCCTAGGGGTCATGCTACATTTGTACATCGCAGTTATATACAAACAATTTGATGGTTTATACCGATATAAGTATTGGTGCGTTAACAAAAATTTCCACGTACACAAAATGTTAATTCGTTAACAAAAATTAGCTTTACACCAACACAAAATATCAGTGCAAATCTACGGTGTACAAATAGGGTAAAAAAGTTTGGGGTACAAATAGATTTATCCTCTTAAATAACATTGTACTTGACACTTTTTAATAAAAAAAATTAATTTTATTTATACAATTTAATTTTTACACTTCAAATGGTAGTATATTTTATGTACTCCATCCGCCCCTAAATATTTGTCACACTTCTATTACTGAAGTAAAATATTAAGTTTTTTCAATTTATTTTATTTACATATTGGTATAGAAATAAAAAATAAAATTTACATATCAAAAAACTACATGAAAACTTTTTCGAAATAAGAGGTGTCAATAATATTTTATTTTATCAAATAACCAATAAAAAAACATAAAAGGAAATACCCCAATCAGACTTTGACCTACTCCGTATTTTTTTTTCTGGGGATAGAAAGCATCCGATTGATTTTAGTCGGTTTCAGAAGCACCAAAAGGAAATACCGCAACCAATATCAATTAGTAGGAAAATGCTAAGGTGTCACCACATGGGTGTTACCATGGGTGCACCCATACTTCGCACAGACAAACATAGACGATAATTGTCTGTGTCGCACAGACAATTATCGTCTGTGTTTGTCTGTGCGAAGTATGGATGCACCCATGATAGCACCCATGTGGTGGCACACTAGCATGGTCCTATCAATTATGGATAGAAACTATTAATTTTTTAACAGAACACCATTGAGTTTCATTTTGGGGTGGTGTGACACCAATACATCTATATATCAACCAAACTTAAGAAAACCCCTTAAATAGGAGTAAAAGATATCTCAAATCTTCAAAATAGGACCTCAAACTTAAAATCCTCTAAACAGGAGTAAAAATTATTAAAATATAAAATCAACCCACAACCCCAAGTTCTTCGTGGCCAGATCCTATTCCAAAGACCAAAGTCAATCTTTTCCGCCGTCCACTATTTTCGATCCTTTCCAATCTTCATCTCCGCCACTTAATAGTAGTGTCATAGCCGCTGCCACTTCTGATTCATAGTGCCATCGCCACCACCATTCACCCTCGGCCCACCCCCTAAGATTCGTCGCCCGGCCCGCACCTTCTCAGATTTGCTACCTCACCCCACCCCAATTTCACAATATTAAATTTTTCAGAAGTGTTTGGGTTTCCTATTGCTATTTAATTGAGTTTTTATTTGCCTTGAGTTTTGTTTGGATGCTTTCGGATGGCGATTCGATGTCAGAAAATGACGGCCAACTGTTGTCAATGATGGTTGCTCATCCGGCTGCCATAATGGTAGCCATGAGATGGTGGACGGTCACTGATTATATTATTGGATTTATTGCAGGTCAGTGGTTGTGTTTGACATTATTCATTTGTTTGACATTTTGAATTTGCAACAGTGACATTATATATGATAATTTGTAGCATCGTGCATTACCATATGTGACATTATATGATAATCGGTGTCATTATGCATTACCATATGTCCATATGTGACATTATATGTGGCCAAGTTTGGGATTATACCTTCGTTGTTGTTAATGTGGCACTGCGACGGAGACTGTGTAGAGTGTGATGGTGGTGTTGAAATGTTAGAGTGTGTCGGCGAATATTTGGAGCTAATGCAGTAGTTATTTGACTTTTCGCTCATCAAAGGTTTGATCTCCAGACCTGATTTCAGGTTCGTCTTCGATGCGATGCATGCGGTTACTGGTGCTTATGCGAAGCCTATTTTTGTTGATATGCTCGGAGCTAGCTTTGGAATGTATAGTTAATGGTGTGCCCCTTGAGGATTTTGGGCATGGCCATCCAGACCCTAATCTCACATAGGCGAAGGATTTGGTCAACATAATGTACAGCGAGGATGGCCCAGCCCCCCCCCCCCCCCCAAGTGTGTAAATACACACGCATGCAAGAAAAAAGAAAAAATTAATTACTCATTTTTAGGAAAGTTTAAGTTTTAGCTCCTCATCATATAGATTCTGATTTATTGAAATTCTTCATTAAAACTTCTCATCATAAGTTGAAGAGAACCCTTTAATTATGAAGGAAGGTTGTCTTCAATTCTCTTTGCTAATATTGCCTCTTCTAGCAAGGACAGCTTGTGAATTCCTCCAAGCCAGAAAAAGAGATCAATTCTTGAAATAACTCAAACTCCAATTGTTTACAAATTACACGAGATTCTTGGAATCATAAGAATTCAGCTAAAAAACATACACGCATTACAGATCTCTGATCTGATGCTTTGATTATTTGATACAATCACATACAGATCGATTAATTTCAAATACAATTGAAAGATAAAACACCCAGATTTCAATGAAATTCATCATGTTTGTTTGCTGCGATCATTGAAATCCATCTTCTTGAAATGCCGGATCGACAGGAGTGACAGCGACAAATTCATCTCGTCTTTTCCCCACCTTCTCTTCCCGGCGGGCGATTCGGTCGGAGAAAGCTTTGGTGGTGGGGGCAATGAAGGCCAGGCACAGGGTGGCGCTGACGGAGACGGTGGTTTAACGAGCGGCCACAGATGGAGGGAGTAGAGGCGGCGGAAGCCGCCAAGAGCAAAGACCACGTTGGAGAGGTGCCGCTGCTGCAGACTGCCGGTGCCGCCGTCCTTGAGGCACATCACCTCCCACAGCCGCTCGTCTTCCGCTGCCCGTTTCCACATCCGGCTAACGCACGCCGCCGACGCTAGGGTACGCCCGTCCACGCGCTTCAGCACCTCCCACAGTAGATTCACATCCGATAGCACGTAATCGGCCGCAATCATCGCCGCCGAGGCTAACGCGCGGCCACACTCTATCTCGTCGCCCTCCATCGAATTCGCCGCCTTCGCCTTCTTGGAATCGCCGATCCGGGCTGGATCGGCGCCGTCGCGGATACCGGGAGCATGAGGGCGCTTCATCTGCGGATCTGGACAGATATAATATGGATGATGAGAGAAGTCTGCCGATCCGGAGTGGCTATTGGATTTCGGGCTTACAAATTGATAAATGCCCCTCACATCTTTAATTTTTTCTTTTTTTCTTTTTCAATACTGATAATATTGTCATTTCCTTTAGATTTACCCATCATCTTTAATTTTTTTTCAAGATTGACCCTAATGTTCTTTTCTTTAGATATATATACCAATCTTGGTCGAAGAGTTTCCACCTCTTATTGTTTAGGTTGTGTTCTAATCAACTAGTCTCCTCTAATAATTCTCGTATGATTTTTAATAATATCTAAAACTTTTTTAAAATAAATTTGATTGGATCTGAATATATCGTATTATATCTGATCTAACTATATTTGATCTAACTTTAATAAGTTAAAAAATAAATTGAACGGAATAAATCTTTAAACACATTGTACTATGTGCAATTTTAGTTTTTTGAACAAAATTGCATAATCTCTCTATTTTGAAACTAAAGTCTCATTTTAGATTACGATCATTGCTTGAGTTTATTTTTAATTCATCTAATTTGAGTGATGATATACTATTTCGAAATCAAAATTATATAATAAAAAATTATATACTCAAGTGTGTTATACTCAACTTTTTTTAAATTTTGATTATTCTACCTTCCTTGATTCCCTCAATAAACTCTGCCTCGTCTTGATCCTAACCAACTCTGACTTCTTTCGATTACATTCTCCAAATTCAACTAAATTTTCGGGTATAATTAAAATGACGAGAGGTTTAGTGGGACAGTTAGAGATTAAGAATCATCAATTTTTAAAAAAAATTTGTGTCGTAAGTGTTCCAGTTAGAGCTAATTTGAACTCAATACATTGAAAATCATTGTCATTGAAAATTTATCAATAGTAGTAACAACAACAACATAAACAATTTCCAAAATAATACTCTCTTCCTCATAAGAAAAAGTTCATTTTGCTCCACGAAGATAAAAAGTTGTGGAAATGATATTGAAAAAATGTTAAACATTAAACAGTAAATTATTCATCTTTTCACAAAAAAGTAAAAGATTCAAATTTTTTTTGAGAAAAGAGCGATTGGACCACAAATATATTTATGAAAAAGAGAAATATACAGAATGATGATTTTTTTGGGACATCTACAAATAAAAAGTTATGTTATTTCATTAAAAAGATGGTTATGTTATTTCATAGCACAAATAAATGGTAAAAAATTTAAAGAGATAAAACAGGTTTAAAAAACCAACAAACACTAAATAATTAGAGGATGGTAATAGTAAAAAAATTAAATAATCCCAACAATTTTGAAATACAAAACAAAAATTATTTATTTAATTTTTTTTAAAGATACACTCCCTTTGTTCTAAGATCAATTACAATTTTGAAATTACAAAGTAAAACCCTGTGTTTTTTAGAATTATCATTTACAAATTGACATAAGAACTAAAAAATAAACATACATATGAAAAAATTATGTCAAAAATGCTACAAAAAATGTAATAAGAATATTTTATTTTATCAATTAATAAATAAAGCACACTTAAACAAAAGTTACCGAGGGACTAGAGCAAAAAAAGTCGCAATCGATCATTATTGAGTGTAAGTGGAGCACTACACGTGTTATATATGGAGTAAGTAAAATGGAAAATGCAGTCAATGCCGACGTGGCAGTGAGTGACTCTTCATTCAAAATGAATGATGAAATGATATAAATAGGCTAATGAGCAAGAGAGGAAGTGTGACCCAGTAGCTCGTTTTGAAAGTGAGCAAGAGAAGAAGTGTGGTAATAACTAGTTGATCAAGAGAGAAAAAGTGTTGTATTCATGCAACAGTGAAGTAAATGCTTAATTTATGCAATAGTGATGAAGTAAGGTTGATAAATTACATGGAGATATTACCTACCAAGTAATTTTGGAGAGGTAAGACATCAAATAAAGTATTCCAAGGTAGTTGAGCTTTG